AGGTCCCTTCCGACCCTAGAAACTATGAAACTATAACTTGGTGCATCTCCCTTGAAGCCCACTATTCTTTCACTAGCTCCTCAGCCTCCCTGCAGGGCCCCTTCAGTTGGGTTATAGCCGTAATTTCTTCTCCAGAGCTCTAGTCAACCTAGAGCATAGCAGCCTCCTTCCTAAAAGTCTCAGATAGGCTACAGCTTGCAGATAAGTGCTAGAGCTTTCTGCCCTAATAGCATAAGACCTCCTTCCTAGCCAGCTCCCTAGGGCTGGCTTCCTCCCTTTTAAATGCAGGTGTAGCAGTTGGGGCTAATTGAAGAGGATTGCCTAAACCTAAGCCACCTGGTTGCTAAAGGGGAGGCTGCCCTGTTCCTCCCGCTGTTATTACACTCAGTGAAGTATCCAGAAGCAGATAAATGTATGGGTCATCGTTAGGAGAAGTGAAACAGTAAAGTGCTGTGATTGCTTAGGCAAACAATTTCCTTTGAGTCACTGTTGTTCCTGGACCAGAGGCCACCATCTGAAGTCTTTATTCAGGAAAAGCTTCCACCCATGTAAATGATCAACAAATGATTCAGACTGATATCCTTCCAGTGCTGGATGATATCACAGTGAGGGTGATAACCTATTGGGTAAAAACAAAAAAACCCACCATCAGTGAGAGTGGTAAGTTTTCCATTTCCAGAAGTCCTTGCATAAGGGCAGGATGTCTTTTTGGTAGACATGCCTTGGGCAAGACCAAGTACCCATGCAATGATCTCAAGACCTCTACCATAATTAGTTAATTACCCTACAGTTATTAGTTAGCTTACGTTCGTGCAAACATGTTGCAACTGGGGAAATCAAGGCACAGGGACATTAGCCAGCTTTTTCTGAAGTCTTAGGGTGAATCAGCAGCAGAACTAGGTGCAGGACAGGTCAAATCTTGATTGTTATTTCCCTGGAGCAAATGACTGCCATTGTTGGAAGGAAAGTATGTGCTCTGCTCAAGTTGTAATTAATGTTGGCTTTCCCACACCTCTCCAAAAAAAAAAAAAAAATTAAAAAAGATTTTAAAAAAGGATATCTGGCTTTGTTTTGTATCCCAGCCAGGAAAAGAGAAGCTTTTTAATTACGTTCAGAATCCCATTTGATCGGCTGAGCTGTTGGGCTCATTTCTTCAGTGGTAACAACCTACCTAATCAATAGTTGATTCAATTGCAGAGCTTTGAAAAGATAATACTGAGATTTGCAGGAGTTCACCACTAACCATCCCTTTGGCTCAGCTAATGGTTCCACCTAGCACCAGATAAGAACTTGATCTTGCCCACCTAAAGGGCAAAAGCTGGAGGAGGCGTTCTGTGGAAGTAGCTATATTTACCATTCCCCAATTTTTCTTTTGGGAACATATGCAGACAAATAACTAGTATAAACTGACTTGGCTCTATTTTAGTGACTAGAGTGATGCTGATTGACTCCATCTGTTTAAAACAAACAAAAAGCCAAAACACACAACCAGGAAATCAAAAGAGCGAAGGAACCAGCAAACTACACCATGGGACGGTTGGTCTGCAAGGGAATGTACCTCAACTGATGAGATACGAAGATGATATACCGGTTCATTTCATTGATGCTGCCAGGTGTTAACTGGAGACAACAGATTAGCACCTTCCCTTTGGGCTATATTGAAAAACATGCACTGATTAAAATCATTTGGATTCCACTGTTGTCTTTGGAAAATCTCACATATGACAGAGCCTGGCTCATACGAATTTAATAACATTATCAGAGCAGGCTCTGGCTCATAATGATCTTCCCTCACTCAGGGAAGACCTTAGAAAAGTTTATTAAAGAGGCCATCCTTGATGGACTGGCCAATGCTAACATCCTAAGGGATAGCCAGCACGGGTTTGTTGCGGGTAGGTCTTGCTTGACCAATCTCATTTCCTTCTATGACCAGGTGACTTATCACCTGGACAAGGGAGAAGAGATTGATGTCAT